CTTTTTCCCTTCCCTCTTGCCTCTTTCTTTTTTCCTTCTTTCCCTCCCCTGTTTCCTTTTCCCTATTTTCCTTCCCTTTTCCCCTTCCTTTTTTTCCTCTTCCCTTCCCTCTTTTCCTTCCCTTTTTCCTTCTCCCTTCCCTGTTTTCCTTCCCTTTTTCCCTTCCTTTTTTTCCTCCTCCCTTTCCCTGTTTCCCTTCCCTTTTTCCTTTTTCCCTTCCCTCTTTTCCTTCCCTTTTTCCCCTTCCCTGTTTCCTTTTGCCCTGTTTCCCTTTTTCCCTCTTTTCCTTCCCTTTTCCCTTTTCCCCTTCCCTGTTTCCCTTCCCTCTTTTTCTTCCCTCTTTTCCTTCCCTTTTTCCTTCTCCCTTCCCTTATTCCCTTCCCTCTTTCCCTTCCCTTTTTTCCTTCCCTTTTCCCTTCCTTTTTTTCCTTTTTCCTTCCCTCTTTCCCTTCCCTTTTTCCCTTTTTCCCTTTTTCCCTCTTTCCCTTCCCTCTTTTCCTTCCCCCTTCCCTTCTCCCTTCGCTTTTCCCTTCCCTTTTTCCCTTCCCTTTTTCCTTCTCCCTTCCCACTTTTTCTTCCCTTTTTCCCTTCCCTCTTCCCTCTTTCTTTTTTCCTTCTTTTCCCTCCCCTGTTTCCTTTTTCCCTCTTTTCCTTCCCTTTTTCCCTTCCTTTTTTTCCTCTTCCCTTCCCTGTTTTCCTTCCCTTTTTCCTTCTCCCTTCCCTGTTTTCTTTTCCCCTTTTCCCCTTTATCCCTCTTTCCCTTTTCCCCTTTTTCCTTTTCCCTTCCCTTTTTCCTTCCCTCTTTCCCTCCTTTTTCCTTCTCCCTTCCCTGTTTTCCTTCCCTTTTTCCCTTCCTTTTTTTTCCTCTTCCCTTCCCTCTTTTCCTTCCCTTTTTCCTTCTCCCTTCCCTCTTTTCCTTCTCCTTCCCTTTATTCCTTCTCCCTTCCCTTCCCTCTTTCCCTTCCCTTTTCCCTTCCCTTTTTCCCTTCCCTCTTTCCCTTTTTCCCTCTTTCCCTTCCCTTTTTCCCTTCCCTTTTTCTCTTCTCTTTTTCCTTTTCCCTTCCCTGTTTCCCTTTCCTTCCCTTTTTTCCCCTTCCCTCTTTTCCTTCCCTGTTTCCCTTCCCTTTTTCCTTCTCCCTTCCCTGTTTTCCTTCCCTTTTTCCTTCTCCTTCCCTGATTTTCCCATTTCCCATCTCTCCTTCTCCTCCTCCTCCTTCTCCTTCTTTTCCTTCTCCTTCTTTTCCTTCTTTTCCTTCTCCTTCTTTTCCTCCTTTTCCTTCTTTTCCTTCTCATCCTTTTCCTTCTTTTCCTTTTTTCCCTTCCCTGCTTTTCCTTCTTTTCCTTCTCCTTCTTTTCCTTCTTTTCCTTCTTCTCCTTTTCCTTCTCCTCCTTTTCCTTCTTTTCCTTTTCCTTCTTTTCCTTCTTTTCCTTCTTTTCCTCCTTTTTCTCCTTTTCCTCCTCCTCCTCCTCCTTTTCCTTTTCCTTTTCCTTTTCCTTTTCCTTTTCCTTTTCCTTTTCCTTTTCCTTTCCTTTTCCTTTTCCTTTTCCTTTTCCTTTTCCTTTTCCTTTTCCTTTTCCTTTTCCTTTTCCTTTCCCTTTTCCTTTCCCTTTCCCTTTCCCTTTCCCTCCTTTTCCTTCCCCACCTTTTCCCTCCTCCCTTCCCTTTTTCCCCCCCCAACCCCTCCCAAAATTCCCAAAATTCCCAAAATTCCCCAAATTCCCACCTTTCCTCCCCCTCCCGGGCGTAGTAGATGACGTAGCCGCCCTCATTCCCGGGAAATTCCGTCGGGGGCCTCCAGGCCAAGCGGATCAATCGACTGCTCACCGACGTCACCGCCACGTCCCGAGGCGCCGACGGCACCGGCCCTGCTGGAATTACCAAAAAAACCAGGAATATCCATCAGCAAAAGGGGAAAATTCCCTCGATCTGCACCAAAATTAGGGAATTTCTTTCTTTTTTTTTTTCTGGGAATTTTTATCCCATTTTTTATGGGATTTTTGGGGTCAAATTTATGGAATTCCCGATTTTTGGGGGGAATTTTTATCCCATTTTTTATGGGATTTTTGGGGGATTTTTTGAGGTCGAATTTATAGAATTCCCGATTTTTTAATGGAATGTTTATTCCATTTTTTATGAAAATTTTTTAGGGGATTTTTTGGGATCAAATTTATGGAATTCCCGATTTTTTAAATGGAATTTTTATCCCATTTTTTGTGGGATTTTTGGGGGAATTTTTTGAGGTCGAATTTATGGAATTCCCGATTTTTTGGGGAATTTTTATCCCATTTTTTATGGGATTTTTGGGGTCAAATTTATGGAATTCCCGATTTTTTTGGGGGGGAATTTTTATCCCATTTTTTATGGGATTTTTGGGGTCAAATTTATGGAATTCCCTAATTTTTTGGGAATTTTTATGCCATTTTTATGGGATTTTGGGGGGGATTTTTTGAGGTCAAATTTATAGAATTCTCGAATTTGTTTTGGAATTTTAATCCCATTTTTTATGGTTTTTTTGGGGGGGATTTTTTGGGATCGAATTTATGGAATTCCCAATTTTTGGGGGGGAATTTTTATCCCATTTTTTGAGGGTTTTTTGGGGAATTTTTTGAGGTCGAATTTATGGAATTCCCGCCTTTTTTTTTTTGAATTTTTATCCCATTTTTAATGGAGTTTTGGGGGGGGATTTTTTGGGATCGGATTTATGGAATTCCCGATTTTTTTTTTGGAATTTTTATCCCATTTTTTATGGGATTTTTGGGGTCAAATTTATGGAATTCCCGATTTTTTGGGGGGGAATTTTTATCCCATTTTTTATGGGTTTTTTTTGGGATCAAATTTATGGAATTCTTGATTTTTTTTTTTTTTTAATTTTTATCCCATTTTTTATGGGTTTTTTAGGGGGATTTTTTGGGATCGAATTTATGGAATTCCCGATTTTTTGGGGAATTTTCATCCCATTTTTAATGGGATTTTTGGGGGGATTTTTTGAGGTCGAATTTATGGAATTCCCGAATTTTTTATGGGATTTTAATCCCATTTTTTATGGGTTTTTTGGGAGGATTTTTTGGGATCGAATTTATGGAATTCCTGATTTTTTTTGGAATTTTTATCCCATTTTTTATGGGATTTTTGGGGTCAAATTTATGGAATTCCCGATTTTTTTGGGGGGGAATTTTTATCCCATTTTTTATGGGTTTTTTTGGGATCAAATTTATGGAATTCCCGATTTTTTAATGGAATTTTTATCCTGTTTTTTATGGGACTTTTTGGGGAATTTTTTGGGATCAAATTTATGGAATTCTCGATTTTTTTATGGAATTTTTATCCCATTTTTTTATGGGATTTTTTTGGGGATTTTTTGGGATCGAATTTATGGAATTCCCAATTTTTTTATGGAATTTTTTTCCCATTTTTAATGGGTTTTTTGGGGGGATTTCATGGGATCAAATTTATGGAATTCCCGATTTTTTTATGGAATTTTTATCCCATTTTTTATGGAATTTTTGGGGGGGATTTTTGGGATCAAATTTATGGAATTCCCGATTTTTTTATGGAATTTTTATCCCATTTTTTATGGGTTGTTTGGGGGATTTTTTGGGATCGAATTTATGGAATTCCCGATTTTTTTTTTTGGAATTTTTTTCCCGTTTTTTTATGGGATTTTTTTGGGGATTTTTTGGGATCGAATTGATGGAATTCCCGATTTTTTTATGGAATTTTTATCCCATTTTTTGATGTTTTTTTTGGGAGATAAATAAATCCTCCCAGCCTGGAATTTTTTTGGGATCAAAATCTCTCCCCAAATTAATGGAATTCCTGATTTTTTAATGGAATTTTGATCCCAAATTCCCCCTTTTTCCTGGAATTTTGATCCCAAATTCCCCCTTTTTATATTTTCTGGCATCAATCCTTCCAGCCTGGAATTTTTGGGATCCAAATCCCGGTTTTTCCTGAGGAAAAAAAAAACCCAAATTCCACTTGGGAAAGGTAAAAAAATCTGGGAATTTTTTGGGGAAATTTTTGGATTTTTTGGGAATTCTTGGATTTTTGGGGGAATTTCTGGATTTTTTTTTTATTATTATTTTGGGGATTTTTTTGAGA